GTCCTGCACCATCTTCATAATCGTTGGTATGATGTGGTGCATTGTTGCAATTATCGTGTCACTCCATCTCATTGAGAGTTTCCCTCTTTTCGTTGGTCCTCTACTTTATCAAACATGTCGTCCTTTTCTAACGACTGGTCTTTCCTGACGACGTGTCCAAAGTAAGTGAGCCAGAGCCTCATCATTCTCCCTTCTAAACAGCATTCAGGTTATATTGCTTCTAAGAGTGATTCGTTTGTTCCTTTGGCAGTCCATGGTATAATCAATATTCTCCGTCAACACCAGTTTGAATGCATCAATTCTTCTTCTGTCTTCCTTTCCGTAAACTGTTGCCATATTAATGTTCCTGAGATTCAACAATTATCATATCACTTCTCTACTCAGAGTCTGTCATGGATCCAGCAGATCATTCACTTTACTTTCTACCTCCAAACTTAGGCACCTGCTTTGTCATTTGCCTGGGAATACTCTCCTGTCTGCCTCTCTAAATCCTAACCATCCTTGAAGGCTCAGCTAAAGTGGCAATTCTGCATAGAATCAAACCTTTTATCACCCCAGAAGCCAATGTGATCTCTCACTCCATTGAACTTTCCTAACACATTATTTACATTTCTCCAATGAGAGTTAACATGTTTGGCATTGAGTTAGATGTAGTATCAGGTATTATTTTATAATTCCATTAGACTGTAAACTTTATGGGGGCAAAGATACCAAATACCATTTTTTAAATATCAAGTTTGAGGCAAATACTATATATGGGAGTCAGTGTGGTACAATAGAAAAAGCACAGGTTTCAAGGTCAGGCATCCTTGAAGTTCAATCCTGGCTCTACTGCTTTCTTGCCTTTCTGTAATCCAGGACAAGTTATTTAACCTCATTCCAGGACTTCGTTCTTGTCAATCTAGAAAATGTACGTACTTTCCTGAGAAGGTTTTTTTGAGGATTAAATTAGGTAGAATAAATAAAGTACTTATCAAAACGCATGGATACATAGCTACTCAAAAGAGCTTATCTAAATTCCACCATTTGAGTTCTTAGTTACCTGTCAAAGCATCTTCCTGTTCTCCAGATTATAGACATTGAGAAAGCCCAATCCATTTCAGGGCCTTTTTAACTGTGCCCCAAGCCCCTAGGTATGAGGCTTTTTCTTTGTCCGTAACACTGTTACTGAATCAGGATCCATTTCAACAGGCTGACCCTCCATGTAATACATGCGCACAGATGTATTACAGGGGGATATTTCCTTACAAAACTCTTTTGAAGAAGGCAAAGTTCAGGTGTGTGCATTATTAGGATTATCTAACCCAGGTTGTGAAACTCATTCTCATTTCAGAAGCTTAGTGATTTTTTAAAATGCAAGACACACGTAACCAGTGTGCCAAGCCTTGAAATTCCTCACCAGAAGTCCAGTAGACACTTTGGGAAGTAGCACCACACCACCAGTCCACTCAGTGCCACTGGAGAGATTACAATTACGCGTACCAAGTGGTTCACAAGAAGTAACTATGGGCAAGCTAAGAAACATTTTTGAGGGCTTAATGACTTTTTTAATCTCTCTGAGAGGTGAGCATACCATATTTACACATGTAGTTTTCTTCCGTCACCTATTTTGGCTCCCTTGACAATTTAACAAGATAATCAAGGCAAATGCTTTCTCCACATGATTTTTCCCCAGCTCCTCTTTCCTTCCTTGCTTCCTTGTTTCCGTCCTTCCTCCCTCCCTCCCTTCCTTCCTTCCCTCTCTTCCTCGTTTCTTTCCTTCCTTCTTTTTTTTTTAGTTTTATAAAGTATATAAAAGTTTTCTTTAAATTTTTTTAGAGAAACATATTTTCCAGGCTAGATTACAGCTAAAGTGTTAAATATAAGTACATCCTGATGCGTCCTACTGGGTAAGGGGAGCTTGTGGAGTGCCTCAGAAAGTCTTCTCTCAATCCAGTTGAAGCCCTTCTCACCTCTGGCTCATCTTCCTCTGCTTCTTAAGAGTGAGGGAGCAGAGGCTTGCTGAGGCGTACAGGAATGAAACAGCTGCTCAGTCCAGCTGAGGCCACAACTCCACTCTGAAACTTGTGGGAAAATCTAAATCCAGACCTTTGACACTGATTAGCACATATCACTGTTCTTTATTAATGAGAGGATTGCATTTCTAAGCTTTCTTAAGGTACAAAGCTTTAGTAAGTACCTATTGGAATCAACTTGACTGCATACAACAACAGTTATATGCCAGAATAGGAAGAAAGGCCTTGCGATCTACTTCTGAAAATCAGTCAGTGAAACCCTGTGGATCACAACCGTCCGATGAGCGGCTGATCGTGGGGATGGTGCAGGACTAGGCAGCATTTCCTTCCCTTGTGCAAGGGGTTGCCATGAGTCAGCAGCTGATTGGACAGCAGCTAACAATTATATGCCAGGGTGCTAAGAGTGATGGGTGATCCAGGTACGTATTTGAGTAATCTTTCTCCCCTCCTCCATGGCCAATTTCGTATTTAAAATATCATAGAATAAAAGGGGGAAATTATGTAAGTAAAGTTAATTAATAAAAAGCAAATTAGGGAATGACTAGCAAAATTATTCACCAGAACCCTGTTTACACTTGTCAAACATTGTTTTTGAGCTAAAGACCCTTTCTCCATTCGAACCTGTCATTGAGAGACGTTTGAATTTTAAAAAGTATATGTCAATTTCAGGGTTTTCTATTAGTGACTGTTTTTACATGATGATAGTTATAACTGAGATATGGTCATTGCTATTAATCAAACAGCTAAATATTCTTAGCAAATTATTCTATCCTCTCATACCTTCCTTTATTCCATTATGACACCACAGTCACCCAGTTTATCAAGCACTAAACCAAGGAGTTATCTCAGGCTTCCTCTTCTCCCTTATTACCATGTTCAAGCAAGCAGTCAACACATTTTCTTGATTCTAACTCCCAAGTAATTTGCATCAGGCTTCTCCTTTCTATCCCTTGAGTTTAGACCCTACCCCATTTTATCTTGTTTAAGTGACTCCAGTGGTGTCTCTGGTTTTACTGATGATATTCTTTAACTGCCACCCAACCATGCGTGCTCTCATGACAGAGTGATCATTCCAGGTTCTGAATGCAAATCTGATCATAGCATTCCCACACTTTGTTGGTTCTCCTTTGACGAGTGAATCAAACTCAGTGTAACCGTCAACTCCATTTGACCAATGCTTATTGACTGCGTCTGGGGTCAGGGATTATGTTAGATGCTGGTGATACAACCCCAAGTATAATGGAGTCTGGTGAGTGCTTTAATAGCTTAGAAACTTGGGAATCTTCTCGGTTCAAATCCATGTTCCTTAAGGAAACCTACCAGACTGTCCATGACCTGAACTTCCCTCTCCCACCTTTTCCTCATGTGTTGGAAACGACATTATACCAATCAGAAGTTCAGTTAACATTTTATGTTCCCTTACCTTTGTACAGGCTGTTCCTTTCCATAGAATGCCTTTAACTGAGTAATTTCCACTTGTCGTTGTAACATTTCCCCCAGGCATCTTGTTTTCTGAGGCCCCTTTATACCTTCAAACCTCTCGCCCTCAAGCTGGGTTAGATAACCTACTTCTCTGTGTTTCTCCTAAGTCCCTTCCTCACCCAGCACAGTTCTGGGCAATAGCAGACTGTCAGTAATCATTTGTTGAATGACTGAAAGTCCCTAGTTCATAATGTTATTAATTATTCTTTCTTGTTATAGATATTTTTCAAAAAGTTGCCGTCAACTCCAATTCATGGTAACCCCATGTGTGTCAGAGTAGAACTGTGCTTCATAGTGTTTTCAAAGGCTGATTTTTTGGAAGTAGTTTGACAGGCCTTACTTCCGAGGTGCCATTGGGTGGACTTGAACCTCCAACTTTTCAGTTTTCAGCCAAGCGCATTAATGTTTGTACCACCCAGGGACATTTTAATTTATATATCCACTTGTGTGAACTTAATTCTCAAAACAGTGCCTCAATACAGTAATAAATGCATCTCTTGTTCCTGCTTTTGCATAATTTTTCAAATGAAAGGATTATTTGTACTAGTATAGTTGCACCACTGATTTTAATACAGTGTTGTTTTATAAGATTGATAGGTATTATTTATTAGTTCAAAAATACGTAGGAAGCTACTGCCATAAACAAGACATCTAGAGACTATAGGACATAAAAACACAGGGAATCATATCTCACACAGGGTCAGCTTTGAAATCACATATAGTCAAAATTATTTTTGACAATCCCTTAAATCAGAGGTTGGCTAACATTTTCTATAAAGGAACAGATAGTAAATATTTTCATCTTTGTGGGTCATATGGTCTCTGTTGCAGGTACACCTCTGCCGTTATAGTATGAAAGCAGTCATAGGTAATATGTAAAAGAATGAGTGTGGCTATGTTCCAGTAAAACTTTATTTATAAGAACTATGGCTTAGGGACCACAGTTTGAGGTTGAGAATCTCTGCCTTAAATTACAAGGTAGGACAAATACTAAAGTAAAGGTGTACGTAGGCTGCTGAGGTGATTCAGAGTAAGGAGAAATCACATATTTCTCATTACAAGGAATTGGGAATGGGTGCCGTACAAAGATGAACTTGCTTTCACCAAAGTTCAGAACACAATTCCAAAATACAGATGAGTAATTGCTATCAAGATCAGACAAAGTTTAGAAAAGCCTAGGGAATGTTTTGGCTGGTCATTCAAGAAATTTTAAGACTAAAACATGGAGATATTTTTGTTAAAAGCATCCAGGAATGTTGTAACCTTGGTGACAATTTACTGTTAAAAGAAGAGAAAAGATGAAAGGTACATTTAAAAAAAAAATGTCTTCCTGGTGTAGACTTTGTTTGTCAACATTCTTTTGAGGTCAGAATTCATTACTGATCACTTTCTCTGAGCTTACCGTTTAAATGCAAGAAGAAAATGTATTAAATGCCACAGTGAAGTATGCTCTCATTGAACTTTTTTTCACAGAACTTGACTGATGTTTTCATTTCATTCCAGCACCAATAGCTGCAGGAACTGGCCCGAATTTTTCTCTCTCAGATTTGGAAAGTTCTTCATACTACAGCATGAGCCCAGGAGCAATGAGGAGGTCTTTACCGAGCACGTCCTCTACCAGGTAAATCCATCAGCAGCTCTTAAAGGGAATGCTTCATAGTTACACACTTTGATTTTAACTCGGCCTATTAGGCATTTAGCAATGTTCCTGTAGTAGGAGAAGATACCTAAGTTGTGTGGTCAGGTCCAGTAGACTTTCAGCCTCCCTGAGGGGAGAAGGAAAATGCACATGAAGCAGGAAGGGGAAAAAAAAAAAATCAAACCATAAAAAACAGCAGACTAAATTATGTGGTACAGGCTAAAAATAATTGTTATTGTTAGTTGACAAGTTGGCCTGAGTCATGGCAACCCCATATATAACAGAACAAATGAAATGTTGCCCAATCCTTTGCCATCTTCATAATGTTTGGTATGTTTGAGTCCATTGTTGCAGCCAAAATTTTGTCAGTCATCTCTTTGAGGATTTCCCTTGCCTTTGCTGACCCTCCACTTTATCAAACATGATGTCTTTCTCTAGCCATTGGTCCCCTCTGATGACATGTCTAAAGTAAGCGAGTCAACGTCTCGGATAATATTCTGTAATCCATAGGGTTTTCATGGGCTAGTTTTTGGCAGTAGATCACCAGGCCTTTCTTCCTAGTCGGTTTTAGTCTGGAAGTTACACTGAAAATTGTTCACCATGGATGACCCTACTGATACTTGAAATACTGATGGCATACCTTCCAGCATCACAGCAACATGTAAGCCACCATAGTATAACAAACTGACAGATGAGTGGTGGTAAAAATACTTAAAGAAGGCTGTATCAAAAAAAGAATAACTTGTACTCAGCTCTAAGTGTTGGTTAGGGTTGGTGAGATGGAAAGGAAAAGGAATGACATTCTAGGCAGGATGAAAATTGAGCGAAGGCATGAAGAAAGGCTGGATGATGAACATAGCAGGTTCTTAGGAAAGTAAGGACAAGGCTTGACTAGGGAAAGGGGTGTGTGTTTTGGCTTAGTTGGCAGAAACTTGACACTGGTGACCCCAGTTCCAGTCCCCATGCCCACAGCAGACATTACAGATCAGTCCCAGCTTTTTCCTACTGAACCCCCAGAGGTCTCAAAAATCCAGTTTATTGGAGTTGGCTTAAGAGATGAAACTATCTGATATCCTGATGTGAGACTATAAAAATGGATGCAGTCAGGTAGTAGGGTAGAGCCAGATCAGAAACTCCATTGCACTGGAGACCTTAAACAGTAAAGTTGGCAGAGCACACTTAGTAATGATTCCAGGTTCTTGATTCCCCTTGAGGCCACAAAGCCAAAATCAAAATGAAGCATTTTGCAAGATCCTGTTGTCTCTAGATAACCTGTGCCAGAGGGAAAGGGATTAGGCATTAAACCCACAGTATTCTTTTACGAATTGGCTTTAGCACTGGACTGTGACAACAAAGAAAAGAATGGTGCAGAGCAATCTTTAATGTTTGTGTACTTTGCAGAAAAGCATTTGACAAAGGTATATTCCACCTAAAGCAAGTACTAGAGTTCTGTGATTTAAAACAATGCCCAGATTATAGAAATTTTCCTTGGTAGAGATCCATTCTTGCCTTGCTTTGTATATTTTGACCATCATGACTTTTTAAAAATGAGTTTAGTCATTACTAATACCTTGAAGACAATTAAACAGTCCTTCCCTAAATGCAACCACCAAATCCCACCATCATTTTTCATGTTGTTCAAATGTTCCTTTTAGCTCACTATAGTGTCGACAAATCTGGGGAAAAAAAAAAATTCAAATCCAGGTACGTTTATAATTCTAACAGTGAGATTGTGAGCACATTCGAGTGTTAATAAATTTTGAGGATTTTGAATGTTTGCTGATGGAAGGGACATTTTGTGTAACTGCACTCAGTCAACATGAAAAAGCTTTGTAAATACTTGTGGGCAGTGGTTAATTTAGAAGTTTTCGTGCTGTTGGTTTTTCACACGTGTGCTGCCCATGTGCCTTGTGCGCCCAAACAGTGCCCCTCACCCTCCATCCTTCCGCACGTGTCTCCAGCTATGTTTTGTTGTCTTTTGTTGTGACTGTCTGAGTGGAAAGTCAGTTATTATTGTCCTTTAAAAGGCTAGTGTCATTCTAGTATTCTGCAAATAACTAACCCTCATAAGGAGTTAATTATAAACAGCATCAGTAGTTAATAACGCAGTAATGTGTTTATTTTTCTCTCATCAGGCTCTTCCTAGGATGAATTAAAAAAAAAAAAAAAAAACCTTTCAATACATAGACTCAGCAGAATTATCTTTGTACAGGTTAGAGAATATGCCGAAAAGTACATCCCACATTTACATAGAAAAGTTCAGCAATCAATTAGTCAAGGGATATTTATTCATGCTGTGCTAATATTGGAAACCCTGGTGGTGTAGTGGTTAAGAGCTATGGCTGGTAACCAAAAGGTGGCCAGTTCGAATCCACTAGGTGCTCCTTGGGAACTCTGTGGGGCAGTTCTACTCTGTCCTATAGGGTCGCTATGAGTTGGAATCGACTCGGCAGCAGTGGGTTTGGTTTTGGGTTTTGGTGCTAATATTAGTTGGTCAAGGGCTCTGTGGCTTTACATACATGATCTGATTTAATCTTCACAGTAGTTTTACAGCATAGTCAGTGTTACCATCTAACAGTGGAAAAACCCAAAGCTCAGAGAAGTTCAGTAATGTGCCCGAGGTCACCAACCTAGAAATGGTAGAACCTATATTCAAACTCAGATATGTTGGAACTTAAAAATA